CCAAGCATTTGAGATCTATAGAAAGATAAATTCAAAATTTGTGGCAGTGTATGAAAGAGAACCATACTTTATTTATAAAAGCAATGAGACATTTAATTAATGTTTTTTTTCTTTTTCTTGTTCCTTTATTTTAGATGAAATCCTCTTTACTCCTAATAAATACTTGGGTACTATTAAATGTCACATAGTGATTTTAAAATATTTGTTATTAAATCATGGCAGTGAACTTTGAGAAGATAAGCTACCTTTGATCTGACAATGGACAGGATGAACCAAATACCGATTGGCCCCCTAACAAGAAAGAGAGAGATATTTCCTACTGTTAAAAATACAGAAGTTATGGTTTTGATCTGAAGCATAAGTTTTGATTTTCATCATTCATCACTCATCAGATATGTTTATTGAATAAGTAAGCCACTCTGTAATTAAGGTCTTAGAGAAGAAAAATAAAGACTCTGGTCTCAAAAATATTACATTTTAGTGAGTCATGACTACATTTCCGTAAGTATGCATATTTAGAAAGAAATTCTTGGATTTTTTCCAGACCATAAGAGAACTTCTGGGAAAATGGATGATTCAATCATACAAAATGTACTGAATCTGGCATTCTCCTGGGGAGCCTTATGACAATGGTAATTTTCAATAAAATAATTGGATTGAAAGTGATGCTGTGAGTTAGGAGTTTCCTCTAGTAGTGGTATTAATGCACTCTGGCTCATTAGAGGACTGTGTCAAAAAAGGTTGTGCTGAAGTTCACTTATATTCATTTTCTGTCTTTTTCAGGCTCCCTTCCCCAGTTATTTTCCATGCTTTAAAGTGTTCCCTATGATTTTGAGCAAATGTGCATTGTGATAGAAAGGACGTGATACTTTCAGCAGAATTACTTAATTAGGTTTAAGTAAGCAGTATGTACCAACATAAGGTATATTTGCCATACAAATGTGCTTGCAATGTATGCTGCATTTCAGAGGAATGAAACACAGTAATTGATGTGATGATAAAACAATGAAGGGAAGGATAAAGCCTGAGAGATAAAAGTCTCGAAAAGGAAATAAAGTAGGATAGCAGCTGTCTCCATCTTAATTGAAGCATAAATTTCAGAAATAAGATCTGAGGTTTAATTTCAAGCACATACTGGGAGAGAGTTTAGTGTATGTTTGTGTATGTGTATATACCCATGTGTGTGATGAAAAACAGGTAAGTTAAATTATTTTCATCCTATGTATAAAGAGTTTTCAAACTATTTTTAAAAAAAAGGAAAAAAGTTGCAAATGTAGAACTTCATTGATTATCCTTGAGAAACATTCATTTAGTCAGCACTTAACAGAGACTAACAGAATCAATGATGGGCAAGAACTGTTCTAGATACCAGTGACAGAGTAGATCAGAATCTGTACCACATTTCTACACTCACAGGACTGAATACTCTTAGTTTATCTTTACTCCCTGTAAGTACCTTCCTTGTCCACATCCCACCCTCTCCCAGAATCATTTTCTTAAAGTATAGATTAGATTACTTCGCTTTTATATTTATAACCACCATAGTGCTCTAGTCCAGCCCCAACCTATATACTCAATCTCTTCTTGCATTCCTCCCTACACTCTGGTGTCAAGCTTTCTATTCTCCAAACATAATATTTATTTTTATCTCTTGCTGACTTTTACAGACTATTCCCTGAGCCTAGAATGCCTTCACATCTATTTACCATCAATTAAAATTCTCCCCACTTTTTAGCGGTGCAGCTGAAATGCCCTTTAAGTCTCAAAGACTTTCTAATACTCTTATCAACTTTAATAGTTCTTCAGCTTAAATTTTGAAGAATTTTGCTTGAAAGATATCATTAAAGTTTTCAGTTCATTTTGCCTGGAGTAAGCTCTTTACATGTCTGTTTTCCTTTGTGAGTGTGAACTACTTGAAGGCAGGACAGGAATGATTGCTAATTTGTTTCTGGCCACATGCTGCTTTACATGTGGTTGACATTCAAAAAAATGATTGGATTGCAAATAAATATGCAGCCAAAAAGTATTTAGGATTCATATGAGACTTGTCATGATGGAATCGGCTACTTCACTAAGTTCTCAAGATTTTATTTTCAGAGGACCTCAGAATAAGCATAATTGCACAGATAGACTGCCCACTACTCTCTCTAGAGTTAGCGACACATTGCATACACAGGTGCTACTTAAATGTGCTTTATGAACAACCTTGGAGGCTACATATCCCATTACATAGGGCATGTTATTATCAGAAGTGCTTTGAAAAATCTCAACTTTTATATCTTGTCTTTATAGCTTAATATTCCTTTTATGTACAAGCATACAGTAATGTAATCCTAAGCAAGACAAACCTTTGCTTTAAAAATGCTTTAAGAAAGAAAAGTTACTTTTAAGCTAAGGAACAGTACAAATGTTTATGCGTTTGTTATAAACTTCTAAGAAACAGAATTGGGAAGTCTTAACACTCTTTTAACTTTATGGAGAAGCTAACTTGCATAATCATAAAAATTCACCTGCCAGTCTAACAACAAAGGACAAAAGTGAATTTAAAACTAATATAAACTATGAAATTGTAATATATAAATTTTGTGTTCATTTTTCAGAGAGTTAACTCTCAACTGACTACATTTTAACATATTTTATGTCCAGAGAGCCCTTCTGAATCATGATTTCATACAGAACAATGCAATATGCTATCTTTGTACTCCTAATCAATAAGATTCACTTCAAAAGACTGTATGAAGAAAAGAGAAGTTATGATTCTTAATACTTTGGTCAAAAGTACTTGTATGCTTTTTTTATAATTGTTTGTGAGATACTAATGCTATGAAGCATGGAACTGGGTTGAACCTCATTCCACAAATGCATTCTACATTTTGATATCCCTTTCATTTACAGGCTGGCAAGACTCTTCTAAATGTTGGTAACTTATCTTGCTACTTAACAGGACAACAAATATCTATTCAGTTCATCAAATAAGAATTTCTGCCATGAGTATGGTGATCTATACTATTTTCAAAAATTTCAAAATTGTGATTACTTGAGTTTTGTACTCTTATGATAAGTAAATCATATAGACAAGTAAGATAGGGGGTTGGGAAGCGATATTAATTAAAACTTAGAGAATCAATTATTTTCAAGCTCTTTAGAAGTTCTCATCTACATCCAAATAATGATCTTACCTTATGTTATTGACTGAATTCCATTTACTTTACTTTCAGAAAGTAAGAATACTATATTCGTACAAAACTTGGAGTTCAAGTGAACTGGAATAATCTTTCCCTTTTTTTTCTAAATTAATAAACTTTACCTATGTTTTTCTTTCTACAATTGATCTTAAAAGAAAATCTGGCTTTGGAATGCATAAAATTCAAAGAAGCTGTATAAGCTCTGATGATCTTAAAGTCAGAGAACAAGATTAACTTGCGGTTTCTGCAGGTAAGTGTTGATAAATTTAAATTATGCTATAGAGGAGGAAGAGAGTTAAACAGAGATAAGAAAATCTGACCAAACTATGGGTAATAGTTGAGAAGAGTTTCCAGAATGCAATAGACAAAGTAGAAAAAACGAGTACTGGAATAAGAGTATACTATTTTAAATTCTAGAAGCCACAATAATAATAGAGTATGTCAGTGCATCACCATTTTAAATAATACTGAGATGAACAATTTAGAATGATAAATACTTTCAAAGAAATAAAAGGCAGAATAATAGTATAATTTTCTAAGTTGGAGTTATATTTATAAGATCACATGCTGTGAACTGATACATTTTTATAATATAAATACTTAATGGCAACACTGTCCCTACTGCACCTTCAAAAGTATAATTGTTTATTCCATTGTGGTTCAGAGTAGTTACTTAAAGAGGAAATCTCTATACCTTGCCATTTTTGGCTATTGCATTAAACTAGCATCCATAGTGTTTTTATGTTTGCTTTACATGTATCTTAAAATAACTTCTGTCTTCTCTTGAGAAAGAGGGACCAAATTATTACTGTATACATGCTCTTGAATTGAGGGCACAACCATTCTATAATAACCTGTTTAGTGAACTTAGAAAACAAATAGAAAAACTATACATTATTCCGTACTTCACACTAAAACCCTTAGAACAAGTGATAAAAGATCAGATGTCTCACTCAAATCTTACCTGGTTTACTCTTCTTAAAAATCCAACCTTTGCTGTCTACCATGAAAATCTCTTGGCCACTGGGTGAAATCCAAACTGGGTAGTTGATCATGATAATTCCAACATGTCATGGGCAGCAGCCTCTCTCAGACTCCCATGAGCCAACTGCTTGAAATGAACCTGCAAAAAACAAGGTATTTCTTCATTTTAATTGAAAATAGTGAACTATGTCCTAGGTCCAGGAGACATCACTACTTAATCAATAAAAGAATAATAAAGGAGTGTGTGAGGGGCTGTAAAAGCCTCTCAAGATGCTGATAAACATGAAAGCCAGAAGACAAGTTTACGGGCTATTGAGGTGTTTTTTTGAAGGGTTCATTCTCCTTTCCCTGTGATTTTTTTGATCTACTTAAGCTGTCAGTATACATAAATATTATTGATATGAAAACACATATTTTATAGTGTGTACCCCTTCTCCTTCACATAGACGATCACTTGGAGTACTCAGAGGGCTTTCTGACTGTACTCATAAGAATTTCAGGGTAACTGGACAACGAAGTTCAACAGGGCAAAACCCATCAGCAGCTCGAGGAAAATCCATATGAAGGTCTAGATCAAAGTCAGTTTCCTTTGTAAGTTCTAGCTGTTCAGTCGATGTCAATATTACTAGTCTAAAAATTGCATCACCTCTGTAGGATAGTTTGTGGGAAACACTTTTGAGGAGAATAGATGAGGTGCTGAAAATTCAGCAGCCACCATTATTCATATCAAGATACAAACTATAAGACAATAATAGATATGAACATGTTGTAATCAGAAAGAAATGACCAGAGCCCAAGAAAGTAACTAGGTAATTAATTTTGGAACAATCTACCACATATATAATGGTTCAATTATTTATGTTTGGATAAGTAAATATGGTATTTAAACTTCATAAGCCTGTTTAACTTCCATTCAAGGAGAAAAACCCCATGCACAATCAACAACTCTTAATTGCACTGATACCTGCCACGTGAATAACTCTGTTCAATAGAAATTTAGAAAGATGCTAATGAACAGATGTGTTCCTTGGTCTTCCCAGGATAGCCTTTAATACCTATTAGATTCTTTTAGCTACAACAACCATATTTAATTATGAATATACCAAAATAAATTTATTGTTATTATTTTCTAAGTAGTGAAAAACAAATGACAGAAGTTATTCTAAGCCTGTAGGGGAACATATGTGAGTGATTATGTGCTGCAGATTCATGGACACAGGTGCAAAACTGATTTTAACAGACACAAAATGATATATCCACATGCAGATGTGATTACAGATTCAAGTATTCCCAGAAGTCAATGTGGAGACTTTGTAAAAGGACACAGTAGTGAGATATCCTATTGTCCCATTTCAGCAAAAATGTTAAAATGGCAAATATTGAAGTCAAACACATACTTTAGACTAAAATGCAACACTACAAAATAAATCTTTAAAGAAACACATGTATACTTGGACACAAAATGACCATTCTGTAATTCCAAACAGGAATGTCATTTTGGTGCCATTGCTGTAAATATACACACACGTACCCATAAACGTAAACAGCTAAAATTTTCTAATGTATTGATCCAAGCTCTGGTAATCATTAAACTAAATCTTAGTCAATTTCAGAATGCAAAATGTTTCTATTCATGCCCAAAATTATTTTACTTCTTTTCTTCTTTGAGGATACTCTGAAAATTATCAAATCAATTCCCTTATAAGACGAATCCGTTTTTATGAGTGGTAATACTTTCTGGTCTTGTGGCAGTTATGCAGGATATTTAAAAAAGTCATACACTAGTGGACAAAATGACAGAGAAGTGTTTATAAACATAATTGCTAAGCTCCCAAATTTGCAATAAAGTGAGGAATTTTTGAAAGCTATTTGCTTTGGAAGCTCCCATTTGTGCCCTAGTGTGACTTTTCATACTTTACTTCTGCCACTTACTGTAAAAGAATGAAAACGAGTAAATCAGCATAACTATCTGCTTTCTAAAATGGCTTTTTTTTTTTTCATTATACAGAAACAATGCTATTGACACCTTCTTGTAGGGGTGCATTTTCTATAAATATATATTTTAGTAATGATAATTTTCCACTGACCATTGATCTCTTATTCATTAACCAACTTATTCATCCCACAAATTTTAATTGAGCACTTCATTTGTGCCAGTTATGAGACTAGTACTCAGATACAAAATGAAAATACACATATTGTCCCCATAAAGATTACTGTCTATTTTATTGTTATTCGTTGATGTATATTTATAATTAAGAAAGGTAGCAACATTAGACCAAATTAAAATAATTGGCCTTATTTTATATTCTATCCGCTATGTGGCTGAATCATGGGATTTTATGAAGTTTGTCAGTGAATAAAACACTATAGGCTAAGGGCAAAGCTACAACATAAAATGACCTATTCATACAGTTGACTCATGTGAAGTTCTTCCTGGATGTGATGGCTTTGTATCACTCTGAAGTTTTTCATAAGCCCATTAACAGACTGAGTCAAAATGGCTCAGAAAATCTGACCAGTTATTACATAACATTCTGGCATCCAACATGGAATCAGTGCCTCCCAAATATCTGTGTGGTCCCGTGTGGTCTATAACACAAGTTAATAGATATTTTTGGGCGGGGGGTTACTATTGTCTTATATAATAAATTGGTTCATATGTTTTTGCATTATCATTCCATATATTTTCTCAAAGAGGTTATATAAAATTAAGTGTATATATCCTTCTCAAAGAGAAGTTCATGAGGTGTTCATTAGATGTATTGGTTTAAAACTTTATTCTAACAACCATTTTCATAATAAAAATAACTGCTTAAAATAAAATAAAATTTTCAGTTTTTTTTCTGTTCAAATATGCTACTAACTATGAACATGAAAACAAAAGGTACAGATAATACTTTTTAAAAATACTCTTAGAAATTGAGTGATTTTTACTGAAATCAATATGGTTACAAAGGATTTAATTTTCTTCTATTCTCTCATATTTTCTGAGTTTCTGCTTATTAGTGGGATGACTAATCTAAAAACAAGCCTTAAAAAAATAAATGCTATTTTTATTTTTTAAAAACTTGATTCTTTCAAAAATAAATTTTTAATGAATGCATTTTATTGTATATAAACTTTACTTCAATAGTGTTCATTTAAAATGATTTAATGAAATTTTGACAATACAAAGAGGTTCTAGATGTGGGTGTAGTATAGAGAACCTATTGATAAAATACTGTTATATATGAATTTAAAACATCACAAGACCAAAATAAAAATTGAAAAAAGTAGAAGAAATTCAAACATTCACAAACCCTGTTTCCTCATTTCTTGGTCTCAAGTACTCTGTAATTGAATTTTGGCCTTCTTTGCCTTTCTTTATGCACACTGCTACTACCCTTTTAGTTTATTTTACTGCTTTGAAGAAAGCTTTCCAAAGGATCCTCTCAGCACTTAGACATTCATTTTATAGGCTATTGATCTGTACTTGTTGATATATTGCTCTCTAAACTTTATCTCAGGGATGTGCTTTATCTTCCCCATGGGGGCATGTTGCAAAGCCCTCTGGATAGCTGACACAATTAGATGAGTGCTCAGCATTCTGTGAGCTCAGTGCATTTGTTAAATGACTGCATGGTACATTTTGAAAACTTTGTATATAAGTCACTCATTTTCCTGTACAAACATCAAAAATATAAACATCAGGAATATAGGAATAGGTAGATTATAAATGATCTATGTTATGAGGTTTTCTGCCTTAGAAATTTCACATCTGTCTCATTTTATCAGTGATATTGGGAAATGAAAGGAGCCACTATTTTTTAGTCAGAAACTTATTGCTTCTAATTTTTTTCCTATATTTAGTCAGATGCAAAAATCGGAGATTAATTCCCAGCAGCCTGGGATCATCAATAAAAATCGATGTTACTCTGATGTTCCAGTTGCTGTTTTATATGTGTTTCTTATTGAAAATTTTCAAATACCATGTGAAGTATGTATCATAATAATGCCTACTTTATGGTGATTAAATTAAGAATCAGAAATTTTAGCTTACTTGCCCAAAGGCAGAGGGCCTTTGAAAAATGGAGCTGAGATATGTAGTTAATTACTAGTGCTGTACTGACAATTAATTCTGAGTTCTTCTAAACTGAGTTTGAGTGATTTGATCATTTACAGATGAAAATCTGAGTCTCAAGGATTAAGTGACATATCAGAGGTCATTAAGATCATAGTAGTGTCTGGATTAGTACCTTAACCCATGATGCTCCTCCCTTTCTTAGACACCATTCTCTTCCCCAGCTCACTCGGTATAAATAAGTTATAGATTTCTAATTCACGTGATTTTAAAGACCATGTTTAGGGTAAGTTTTATTGTAGAAAGAAGGTATCCAAGCCAACAAACAAATAACAGGATTTCTAAGTACTCAATTTTAAATGAGCTTAATTTTCTGAAAGCAACAGATGACATCTTTCTCTCTTCTTCAAGCCATTTCTTTTTTACAATGAAAAAAGCATAGACACAAATGAAGACTGTGTGAATAGACTGTGACAAAACCTGTGATTAGATTTAAATATAAATAGCACATTGGTGTTTTGCTGCTGCCCATTTGGTATGTTTAGCTATGATATTAGTAATTACAAAATTGAAATCTCCCAAGATATTAATTTATTATTTTCACTTCAGAAACTCAGCAGGAGTCCCTTAAATAACATAAAACAAAATCTTGGGCAATTCTATCAATATTTGAAAATCTAGTGCCCAATACTCAAACATAAACAATTCTCTATGTTTTCATCTTTGCTCAAAGATGCCTAATTCTGAATTTGATTATTACCTAGAAACTGTGCCAATTAAAATAGGCTATATTTCTGTTTGCATTTTCTTAAAATGAAGAATACAATTAGTCATGTTCCCAGATTTTTTACAAATGAAACTTGTCTCCATCTTTTTTTCTTTCTTGCCTGCTTTCTCCTTTCTCCCTTCCCTTTCTTCTTTCATTTATTCCATCCTTCTTCTATTATCTTCTCCTCTTTCTTTATTTTCATCCTTCCTTCCATTCTCCCTTATTTTCCTTTCTTTTTGCCTTTTTATTTCAACAAACATTTAAATATCTATTAAGTTCCATATGATGTGCTAGGCTCTGAGGACAAGGCAAGA